TTACAAACCTAATCAGCTAGTTAATGATAATGTGATCCTATTTGATATTTTTTTTATAAAAACACTTACTCTGCTTGTTGAGATATTATTCACGTTAATTTTATGAGCCTACTCTCCCAGGCTAGCTCAAGGCATGTTGGAAGAGAGCGTTTGATTATTTTCCCGCAGTAGGTTGGCATTCTTTCTGCAGTAGACTGGTTGCCAACCAAGGCTATAGAACCCAATCTGTCCTGCTATTTAATACATAGCTAGAGGGAAAAGAGATGGATTCATACCTTTCCTAAGAGTATTTGTGCACTACTAACAAATCTAACTGGAATTCAAAGTCAGCTTCCCAATTTCTCATTCTGAGCAGATATTCATTACACCACAACACACATCGCTTTAATATGCTAAAGAATAAAAGATGAAGTGTAGTGATAATCAAATGTATAAATCTTTCCTAATTATTCTTCATAATACTCTGATGCGACTATATAATGCTATAAAACTAGATATCAGATTGCCTATAATGTGATAAAGACAAAAATATAAAAGTGAGTAGTGTTCAAATTTAATATAGATATAATATAGAAAAATTGAAGCATACAAATTGATATGATTATATATATATATATATAAAATATTCATATCAGTTTTGTGTATATATATATATATATATATATATATATATATATATATATATATGTATATATATAAAACATTATTCATATCAGTTTGTATGCTTCACATATATTTTAGGCAGAACATCTTTATTCAAACATGTTTCATTGAATAATGTAGACATATTATGTCTATTTATTTTAATAATGATCCTTTCCAATTCTCAAGGAATGGATGAATTACAAGGACAAACTTATAACTGTGATAAAACCTGCATTTGGTTGTGATGTTGATTATTAAAAACATGCTCTGTTATAATTATTTTAAAATTTTAAATTTATCCATTGTAGCTATGAAAGTTTTTGCAAAACAAGCATCCCAATATAAGGGAGGGGACCAGAAATTTGAAGAATTGCAAAATGGCATTAAATGTTTGTTACATGCACTTCAGCACATTACTGCTGCACTTGTAATAAATTTTATTGAGCATTGGTTGATTTTGATATAGAGGGCCTCAAAAAATTTAAATTTTTGTTTATTATTTTTTGAGGTGCAATATATTGGTGTTGTCAAAAAGTATTTTCCCTGTATTGTGAGGGTGGACAGGAATGTGTGCCATAGAAATTACATATATACATATACATACATTATATATATATATATATATATATATATATATATATATATATATATATATGCAATTACTTCACCCAATACAATGTCCAAGGACCACTCATGGTGGAAAGTTACTGAGCGAGATTGTGTTAAGGAGGAGGGAGAAGGGATTAAAAAGTGCACATTAGGAGGTCATGTAGGATAGACATCAGTTGACTTTGGACTTGAATAGGCCAAGATTGTAGTTGATGGGGAAGCATCCTCTTGGGAGTTTGTTCCACAAAGTAACAGTTCTGGGGAAGAAACTGAATGGGACTTATCCTTATTAAAAGAACATGATGAGAAGAGGGATGATTTACCACCATGAATATGGCATGGTGGGGGTCCCAAATGTGTAGGTCTAAGCTGGTGGAACTAAGGAATATAATTCATCTGAACACCTGCCTTAGCAATAGCGATATAGTGAGAGGCTAGCAATGTTTCATCTGTTGGATAAGGGTTGCAGGTTGAAGAATAATTAATCACTCACAAGGCTGAGTAATTGCTTTTGAACTCTGTCAATTCCAGACAGCACCACTCCAAATGTTATTAATGGATTGGGTTACATTTTTATAGGAACTACTGCGTATACTTAAAAAGGTTTAAGTTTTATTAAAAAAAAAAAAATTTTTAAAACTAGGCACACTGCCCAAGTATGTACACAATTACAACTGGTTTATGAAGTAAGCTTGCAACCCATTACACTACAGTAGTCAGAATCCATTAAAAATATCTATAATATTTATATTTAAATGCTTAAATTGATTCTGTGATAAATATGCACATACTTGTTTGATCTAGCATGATTTAGACTACTCAGTCACAAAAAGTGTCATAGCCCAGCAAAATAGAACATCCATGTATGCATGCACAAGTTCCAACAAGGAGTTTAAAAAATATCAGGTTTAATAATAAAAGGTTTTAACAAAAAAGTAAATTAGCAATCAAAGTAATATTACTTTATTTATATTAATTTCAATCTGACACTGAAAATTTCTATCATTTCCAGGTAAATAAAATAAAGCAATTAATTGATGGTTTAGCTTGAGTATGATAAATTATTGATATTTTTTAGGGTTTATCAACCCTTTGTGGGCTATTTAAAACAAACATTTTGGTTAGAGGAAGTCATTTATATTATCCAGTGTACTCAAGCAGTCCCCCATGTAAGTACTAACCAGGGTTGGCACTGCTTAACTTCGGTGATCAAATGAGAATCTGTGTTTTTAACGTGATTTGACTGTAAACTGGATATAATAAAGGTTCTTGCAGACAACAAAGAAAAAATAAATCATCTTTTTTTTTCAAATTGTTTTTCAGTATTTTTAAAGCAATACAAGTGTAAAGTAATGAAGTGTTATTTCATATATTAAATTAAAAGTAAATTTTTTTTTTTCAAAATAGAAAAAAATATCTTATTTTCTGTTTCTTTTTAATCATTTAACCCCAAGCAAGGTAATAAAGCCACTACTGAGTATTAGAAAATGAGAAAAAAAAATCACTATTAAGGAGAGAGAACAATATGCAGAAATATTGTTCCATTTGAAAGAACAAGTATGAACTTAACATTATCAATAAAAGCATATTCATATTAATTTTAATAATATCAAGAGAAACTTGGATTTAGTAGTTAATTTAAAGAATCATAATTTGGGTTAAAAAGTAAAAAAGATAGCACAAATATTTATTTATTCATTCATACCCTTTATTTTTTAACAATTGGTTTTGTCATTGTTACATTGTTAAACAGATTTTGGATGATATATTCTTCAGCCTTCTACAAATGTACATTGCACTTTAAATCTGTAAGAATCAATTAGTATTTTTATAATTAAATTACACCTTACATTTCTTCACTAGATCATAGTCATTAGTCACAGTAATATACTATGTTTAATTAATATTAAAAACATGCTATAATGAACGAGCAATCAACTCTTATAAAAAAAATTGTTTTCTTGTTTCCCCAATACTTGGGAGAAGTAGGGAAGATGAAGTTCTCAGTTCGATAACTGAAGTTATAATGGCCCTGTGTTGATTGACGACCCTGATAAAGTAAGTATTTTTTACCCACAAAGATTAACACTGGCCATAACCCTTGGAAATCGTATTTCCCGCAAAGCGCTGCGCATGTTTATTTTGCTTAACCTTCGTTTCGTTTCTAGAAACATATAAGCAACATTTTACTTTTTTTAAGATAGGTGCTATATTTATTTATTTATTTTTTGCTTGACGAGTCGTAGCCATGGGCACATTCGAGTATGTTTGTATAATTTAAACAAAAGTAAAACTATACTTTTACATAACGTTAGTGGTGTTGAAAGGAGCATGATTTTGTTTTATTTTTACAGTAAAACAAACAAAAAAATAATGCAAGTGATATTGATCACAAAATATACATTTTTATTATTTCATTTTGGCAGTTAAATCTTTACGTCCGTAGCTAGCAAATTGACAATGTTCGCTTGATAAAGAAAATTTAATTATGTCGTACAAAGTACAGAGGACTTCTAAGAGAACATTTCATTCTTTGTTTAAGTGGGGGGAAGAGAAAAGACTTTGAATACAATTAAGTATAAGTAGTAATTAAAAGTATGACAAGCAAAGAGAAGACGTGTCTTTTTTAATTTAACTAACAACATGTACGAATTGTTTAAGGAGAATAAGATCAAATGAGAATGGGATATTTTTGTTAGACACGTGTTTCTTTATTTTTATTGTGTTGTACCCTATTCTTTATTCCTTAAAGGGAACAATTAGGAAAATAAACCTAGCCCGCAGCATAGACGGATGTCTTTAAAGGAAAATAAAATCCATTTTGCGAATGTGATATTTCCATATATATCACAAAAAATGTGATGTGCAATCGGACAGGTAATTTTATTTTTAAAAAATTAAGATAAAAAAAAAGATTCTAAATAATTGTTTCCTTAATTCATTAAGATCAAGTCTAGACTTGTGAAGCTGAAGAATGTAAAGTATGAATAACATGCTGATAATGAAAAATACGGAAATAGCTTATTTGTAAATATACTACTAAAAAATTTAAGTGTGATCGACAACCATTAGCTGGGCAAGATTAAGGCTTGTTGATGCGGATTGCATATAAAAATAATTTACATGACGATAACATAATGATGTTAACAAATAAATCTTTTGGATATCGAGAATAAGAAATAATATTGTAATACTCACACATTATAAACTGATGAATGAATCGTTAGTATTTGGAGAAGAAAATTAAGAACTGCACAGATAACAGACGACGAATCGCCATGATCGTTTGTTAGTCACGTGTTTCCCTTTCTATATGCAAAGAAATATAATTAAATTATTTTTATTTGTTTGGCATTTTAGTATTCAAAGTTCAATTTTTAAAATTAGATTCTTTTAAATATGCAAATAAAATGTATTAAGTAAAAAATTTGCATTAGTGTTCTTCGGGTTTGAGAATAGATCTAAATAAAGAAACTTTTAATTTTTTTTCTTTTTCAAACTTTAACTTATTTTAATATTTTATGTTTTTTTTTTTTTTAAATGTGTAAATGAGAATTAATTGTAGGTATGCTGACGCAAATATTAAAATTTAAAAAAAGTTCTGTTGGTTATTTTTTCATGTGTGGCTAGAGATTATTTACATGGAGAAAACAGATAGGAAGGGATGTTTTAAACAGAACGAGGTCAGTTTACATTTTAAATCGAGGCTTAGCAGACGAGACGCGGAGAGTTCTGTAAGAGGAAAGATGGCGACACCGAAACGCAAAGAAAATTCACCAAAAAAGTCGAAAAAGATCTATGAAGCTAAGGGTAAGAGATTTAAAAGTTTCTGACATTACTCAATAACAATGTATAAGCGACTGGAAATATTCTGAAGTTTTTATATACTTTGTTCGTGCAGCATAGATCATGTCGGCTGCTAGCGGGAAGAAGTGGTTTTGTGTGTAAGTGTTGAAATCTTTGTAAACTAAATGTTACGTTTAGAATATTTTTTTTTCATTTTAGGAGATATTTGTTTATTAAGTAACCAGAAAAAACAACTACAGTGATTTTTTCTTGATTTGACATACCAGTCTTATAATGTGTTTCGTCTGCTTTTTTAAAAAGTCAAGAAATTACAAAAACTATTTTCTCCCGCGAGCCTGAACAGACGATTAAATATGGCGTCGTCAACATGTTGTTAGTCCGGCATAAAGAGTTAGGCAAGAGTTTTGTCTTAATTTAATGCATCATTATTAGAGATCATCAATTAGAAGCAAGAATTTTATACCTAGGTTTGTTTTAAATTTTAAATATTTGACCTACAGGATATCGACTTCTAGTTAGCTAGAGACTTTGTTTTATTTTTTTGTTTTTTTTTTCTTCTTCATCTTCCGGTAAGAGATAAAGCTTGACTACGAATCTGTGTGTGTGTGTGTCTCTCTCTCTACCCCCTCTTTCACATTACTCTTTGCCTATCTTTTCCTCCCTAAGAAAGCTTCATTCGCTGTCAGTTGATCAATAACAGACAAGAAAGACCACGTGCAATTTCATGAATAGTTACTTCGACAAACTTTTGCGCAAACACATAGAAAGTTTTCTATAAATTCTATAATTTTAATTTAAAAATGATACTTGTTACTTTCTATGTTATCTGATGTGTGATATTGTCATTTTCGATAGGATAAATTCTTGGGGTTAGCATCTTTTATCATCTTTTCTTTTTGTTTTCCGTTTTCGTCAAAAGAATCTTCCATATTATTTAATTTAGTATTTCGTCCTTTTAAAAACTGTACTTATTTATTTTTCATGTAAATGCATAAGTTCTATTTTAGAATTTTATTGCAAAAACTTCTTCACATTGATTATGACAATTTTATTTTTATAATTTTATTTTTACAGTTTTTTAAGCTGACAGCCGGTTTGTTTAACACTTTTTTTATAAGGAGGATACTTTTTATCACATTTCATTTTTAGAGATTCAAATGACTAAAAATTTGAAAACGAAGATACACTAAAAATGTTTTCAATGCTAAAATTGAATGAAGATGCACTAATTAAGTCTCTAAAATATTTTCCATGTCGTATTTAAATATTTGTTAGTAAAAAAAAAAAAAACTGTCTTTATTTTTGCACCTCAAACAAAATTAATTTTTAATTAGAAAAATTGACTGACGACTTTCAAATAAAAAATATATGCATTATTAGAAAATGCAGTTTTCTTTTTATCACATTTTTGCTATTTCAGTAGTTTCTGTGATAAATATTTAAAAAAAATTTTGAGGAATTTTATTTTTATCTATTGAGAACATTTTATTTTTAAAGCTTAGTTTTAAAAATATGAATAGAGCTTGTTTATAAAATGACTTGCTTGATTGTTAATGAGGTAACTTTAACATTTTCAGCTTTTACTTTTTAAGAGTAAATACAAAATGTCATAGCCATTAAACCAAAATATTTAAGAATATTATAAATCAAATCAACTTAATTCATATAAAAGTTAAATAAATTCAAAATTAAGTTTCTCTTTTCCTTTCAGATTAGCTTACCTGATTTTGTGTGTATATTATTTTTTTGTGTGCACCATTCAGGTATTAATGTCAGTTTCAGCTAAAGATCAGTCATTATTTCTAATATGCCATAATTCATCATCCTTATTGTTTCAAAAAACAAATTTAGAACAAAGAAAGATCAACAAGATTTGTCAGAACGTTTTTTTTTTTGTGTGTTTTTTATTCATTTTTTTCTTTTTTTTTAATTTACAGACAGTTCAATTCCAAGTAGGCCAAGAAGAGTTTTTGAGGAAAATATGACCAGATTACAAGAAGTAACTAATGGTTCATCTAATGAGCAAGCTTCTTATATGTCTCTGGACGTTTTAGCACAAGTGGCAACTGATAAATTAAGAGATGATCTTAAATTGCAGCCAAAAGTAACACCAAAAAAGGTATGTTTATCTTAGTACTTATTCATTTTATGCTGATATTTGCATTTAAAATACATAAATTTTGTAAATAAAAAAGAAAAAGTATACTTATTGAAATAAATATTTTCTTTGAATAGTAAATTGTGTAGCTTTTGCTTTGATTCCAATATATACATACCAAAATTACATGGACTATTTCAATGTATAATGTTTATCAAATGTTAACAGAAAGTTACTTCTTGTTTGTGTAAAATTGAACTTAATAGTGACTAATTGAGTGAAGTTTTATACATGGGAGATGATATTTAAATATGCAAAGTAAGATATTTTAGGTGTTCTTTTGAATATCTAAGTCTTTTTATAAATTTAAAGTAGATTTATCTTTCATTACAATCTGATTTATAGTCATTTTCCGATTAATTTTTGATTTATCATTTATTTTTGAGAGTTATAATAAAAAGTTACAGAAATAAGATGAAATATTTGAAGAAAATAATAACAAAGAAGTCTGTACACTATTTTGTAACCTCATGAAATTTATTTACAGGTATCTAAACGAAGTATCCAGTGTCTTGAGATATTAAACTTGGAGCAAATCCAGTCTTTATCCAACAAAGCATTGCTCAATTTTTTCTCTGAAATGACATGCAATGAAATGACCAAAAATTTCACTTATCAATGTTATTTGATGCCAGAAAAATGTCAAGAAAAATTCACTAGTTTTGGTCATGAAACCAAAGCTAAAATTCATATGCAGACACACTTAAACAGCCATATTGAACAACTTGCACGAGAGGCAAATGGTAAATATTTAATTTAGTTTTTTGCTTTTTTAATGTCCAATACATATTAACTTTATCTGCAATGTTATATTTGAGATCTGGTGAATTATTTAATTTTTTTTACTGCAGATCCAGAAAGACAATATAGATTCATTTTTACAGCTGAGCCTCTACATGTCCGAAACAGAAAATTATCCAGTAAGTTCCACTTATTCTATATTCTAATGACTTTTAAATATAGCATAACAAATATTTCTAATATTTGAAATTGATTTTACTTTCTTTTCTTTTTTTTCCTTTTTCCAGTTAAAGAAGCTGAAAAGGCCAGGAAGAAGAAGTCTATATCCACTAATAACAGCTCAGTCAATGGAAGCAATGCCAGTCGTGTTAAGAATAACAAATCTTTTACTGCTCTGAAATCAAATAAAGAAATTTCTCGAGAAAATAAAGCACCTGCACCTAAAATATTGGAAACGGAAAAGGATATTAAAAACTGTGTGACACGGCAAAAAAATTCAAAGATTTCTGACCCACTTGTGAAGTTTCACACACCTAAAAAGAATATGCCAGCTCATCGATATAACAAAAAACAAAATCCAAAAGAGACTTTGAATTGTAGAAAAAAGATTACAACCAAAAAATCCTCTTGTACAGAGAACAAAACAACTGAGGATAGTGACAGCAAAGAAAAAGAAACAGAATTTTCTGATGAAAAAAATGAAGAGACTGATCCATATCAGCAAATCAAAGCAAATGAACTTTTTATAATTGACCTATTAAACAAGAATCAACCTCATCATGACCATTGTTATACAACTATTTTTGGCAAAAAAAGGGCGCTAGAGACAGGACCACTTGATTCTGAAGGAGATGCTGATGATAAAAATAATGTTGAAAAGCACACCAAAAAAAATCCAATATTAGAAATAATTGCTAAATGTGAAAATGGATACATGGTAGCATCTGAAGAAATACTTGGGGTTAATGGTAAACCAAAGGATTCAGAATCAGACGACGAATATGAACCAAGTAAGTTATCTCTTATGTTTAGTTATTATTTCAAAACAAAGAACTATTGTTCTGTTACTAATTCAAATATTTAATTTTTTTATAGCTGAGGCTGCAAAACCAGTGACATCTTGTGAACAAAGTAAGTCTTGTGAAATCTTTTGTTTTCATTTATCATTGATGTTGTTGTTACTTTTTACATACAACAGGGTGCTGAAACGTTTGTGTTTTGACCCACTCCTGGACCGATTAGACATTACAATATTTTTTTTATCCCGTTGTTGTTGGACTTCAAAATTATCAGCATCCACCTCATTTTAACATTGTTAACAGCTCCCTAAACTTTATTTTTGTAGATGGAAATATTGCTGCTGCACATTGTGGACAAAGTAGGTTGAAATTTTATATTCCTGTTATTTTTATAATTACTAATTGATTACATTCTAAATTTTGTAATATTCTTTGCTTTCCAAAAATGTTTTTATTTTATTAGCCATTAAGTAAACTCCTCATTTCTAATTCTTAAAAGCAAGTTTTTCAGATTTTGAATATAATTCTTTCATAATTTTGTCACTGAAATTATTAATAAGTAATCTAAAGTGAAATAATCATAATGTGTAATTATTTATATTTGCATACATTCTACATTTTGTATTTATGGGATTTATAAAGATAATAGTGTTCACATGTTCATCTAAAATAATTCAGTCTCATTTCTCTTCTGAAATTTATTAAATAAAAATTTTAAAATCAGGAAAAAGAGACTTCCTCTCAACTCTACCATATGCCACTTTTTTATTTTTTTTAATGAAGAATAAGTTTTGGTATTGTTAGTTTTGCTTTACCTACAATCTTTTGTATTCTACATTGCTACCATCATTTTCATTACATTAATAGTGAATCACATATAGAAAAACAGTCTAGTAGGTTCTTCTAAATTTATGGAATCAACAAATCAAAGTAACTAACAGAACCATGACAATGCCAATGATTCTCCATACATGATATGCATATTTGGAGTTTGTCTACTGTCTCTTGCATTTATTATATTTAAGTCATATCTTAATTTGATAGGTAGACTTACAAGTTATTTTTCCATTTCATAGTACTTCCTTTATAAAATTGTATTTTTTTTTATGTATGCTGACATGAGAGTTGTCACAAAACATTCTAAAACAATGTTTTTGAATGAAGTTAGTAAAAAAAAATCTCTAATTTCATCTAACAAAGCTTTTAGGCAAACTTAATATAATTACTATCAAAAAATTGTTTCCAGAATCACTTAATTAGAATAGTACTGGAAATCATTTTATGGCATCAGCACAAAGGAATTTGTAGCTTGTATGTGTCTAAGCTTTCTCCACAATATAAAAATTTTTTTTTTCATTTACCTTTTGTTTTCAATTACTTTGAACTTAGTAAATATAAGGTTTTCTTACCATTAAATATTTGCTGTTTGAATATTTTAGAACCATACCCACCTATGCCAAAATCAGAATTAGCTAAAAAAGGGAAAATGAATGTTCCTGAAGAAGAGGAACCTTACAGTGATGAAGCTGAAGAGCTTGCTACATCCAAGAAAAAAAAGAAAGATACTGAAAAATATGCAAATGAATGGGAACGAGTAAGTTTCACTATAGTATTTTTTTCTCAAATTTACCCTAGTTTCTATTTAGAAAAATTTTTTTATTCATTTTTGTAATATTTTGCACTTTATAAAATTATTCTTGAAATTTGACTAAAATATTCAAGTATATATTTGACTAAATTAGCTTCTTTTTTTTTTTTTTTTTTTCTTTCCCCCCAGAAAATAGCTTTACGCTGTATTAGAGAACTTAAAAATCGAAAGAAAGACGATAAAATTCCTCTTGTTTGTCAGATATGCTGTGATAAAACATTCACAGCTAGTGCTACTCTGATGTATCATTATCGCAGTCATGCAGGTTTGTATTTTACAGTATTTTTTTGCTTTCAAAAACAATCTTATTGCAAACTATAACACATAATAAGAATCATGGTTTGGGATTTCTTCCACTTTCGTTGTTTTTGCTTTTTTGTTTTTTTTGTTTTATTATTATTATTATAAATAACTATATAAATTTATTTTCATCTGAAATAAAACCATTTACTTTTTCAGGAATAAAACCATTCATATGTGTTCTTTGCTTGACAACTTTTACAAGACAGCACAGTTTAAATTATCATATGCTAATTCATAACAATCAAAGTCGTTTCACCTGTGCAGATTGTGGTAGAAAATTTAGACATCCAAGCCACTTCAAGGTAAATCTTTTTTCTTTGTTTTTCTTCACACTTAGTATAAGATTTAATTTTCATTAAAGAATTCTTACATCTAACTGTTAATTTGAAATACATAATTTTTTTTAATTTGAAATACTATGTAAATTTTTTAACTTAAAAAAAAAAAAAAATACCAATGCATTCCTGAAATTACAAATTTATCTAAATTTTTTTTTTTTTTTTTTTTTTTTTTTTTAAGGAACATCTTCGTCGTCACACTGGAGAAACTCCATTTACTTGTGCAGACTGCTCACAAAAGTTTAAGACCAGAAATACATATAAACGTCATTTAAAAACTAGGCATGGTAAACTTCTTACTGCTAATGGAATTTCTGTTTTATCAAATGAAGAATTTCAGAAGGTCAGGACCAAGCCTTACAAAAAATTCAATAATATCAAAGAAATTGAACAAAGTGCACAGTTGCCTTCTCCAGATGTTAGCCCAGAGATTAAATGTGAAAAGAGTAATCTGCCAACAACCTTTACGACTACAACTACTATAACAACAATTGCTTCTTCTACTAATCTTGTATCCACTACCAACTCTACGAATACTGTAACTCCATCAACTTCAACTGATAAATCCTTGTATGTCCCTATTGAAATTATTGTAAAAAACTAGAGAAACAAATGGAAGATTTTTTTTTTCTGTTATTGAACAATAGTTCATTACCTGTCTATAAATGAAATGAAGAATTTAGATAAGTGTATAGATCTAAGATTTTCCTCTTCTGTGTCTTATTTCCACCAACTCCCATTCCCAATGCCAAATAACAATAGTACTCCAAATACATTTTATTATTTGGCTGTCTACTCAAACAAGTTATCATCAAATCTTATATTTTTTCTGAAAAATTTGAAAAACTTCAAAAATGTATTTCTATTTTTAACATGTTGCATTGATAAAAGTTTTACATTCAGAGTAAGATTATTTTTAAAGTTTTTGCTAATATAGGACAGATCAAAATCTTATTGTTTGTGTGATGATTTCCCAACCTCCCCATCCCACTCTCTTGATCCAGGTGTACTATCATAAGTTTTAAATTTTGAAAGTATCTGATAAATTTCTTCTGGATCTCAAAGATGATGTAGTTACATAAACTACATAATAGATAAGTGCCTGGAAAAAAAAATTGATGATTTAATACCTCATCTAACAATTTTTTAGATACTAATACTAAAGTTGCTTATGTACTTATTACATACTTTTTTTTTTTTTTTTTTTTTTTTTTTTTCCACTTCACACTGTATGTTTATTTTATATATATATACATATATATATATATATATATATATATATCACAGAAATTAACCAAGTATGATTCTGTTTAGCTAACTTAATTCCTTAAGATGTATTTCTATTGTTAGTCTTAAAACAATATTTGGCCACATCAGTATATGTATAGATCATATAGTGATAAATTATAATGCATTCATTACAAAAAACTGCTCTAAACTATTAGCATTATTCAGGAGTGGAATAAAATGCTGAAAAGTTTAATTCAATTTATTAAAATTGAAACCAGTATTCAAATGTTAGTTCCATCAAAAATGAAACAAAACCATTTCTAATCTGACATGGCAGTTTTCTTTGCAATCTCCCGAAATGTCTCATTTCAGTATGGAATTTTCAAATCCAAATACTGTATTTTTCCTTTTATTTAAAAAGAAACAAAAAAAAAAGGAACAAATAGCAATTGTCTTTGGCTGATACAGCTTTACTTGTACATATATTGTACATTTATTTTATAAACTTATTCATTCAGAGCTGTCTTCCTCCTTGAATATTCAGTAGGAAATTTTGCATTGTTTTTAATCAAAGTAAGGTTGTGAACTTAATCTCTTCAGTGTTTTTTTTTGCTTTTTTTTTTCCATTTTGTGTCAAAGTAGGCAATTTGTAATGTTATGTTGTCCTATTTCTAATGCCAGTTTATTAATTCGCCTTAATTTAATTTTTTTTCTTCACTTGCAAATTCAAACAAATAGTTTTTTTTGTTTTTTTTTTTTTTTAGATTAATACTATATCATTGCTCCAACAATAAATCATTAACAATTAATTCTTTGAATTCAAATTTGGAAACATGAATTTATTGTGGCAATTATTACTGATATTTGTTTTTATTATTGTTATTATTAAAAAAAACTTGCACAGATTTTCTGTTGTATTCTCTGTTTGGTTTCCAAAAAGGATGTTTAAGTAATAAACCTATTATAATAGGAGGAAGGAGTTTCTGATTTGATGTTTTGGTTAATTTGGTATCTATTTGGGAACATAGTTATGAACATATGACACTGAATCTTTTGTGAAAAGTCAGTAACTGTGAGAATAGTTCAATTTTTGCCCCTTTTCAATTTGAATGAACAGATTCCTAAGGAATGAAAATTGTTAAAATGTAGATTTTGTGCCTTTCCACACATCTGTTTTCAAAAGAGAAAACTAGAATGATCTAGAAGTCATTATGTATACATGTTTGGATGTATGTGATATATAAGCTCATGAGTGCATATATATATATATATATATATATATATATATATATGTGTGTGTGAGTATGATTGAATTACCAGTTCTCACAAATTTTCATAACCATCAGTCCTACCTACTTGCCTTTAAGTTTCGATTCTTAAAGTGGTTCTTTTTGCATAAAATTTTAGATGTTCATACCTCTTAGTTATAAGTCATGATGTTTGGACATTTACTATTGGTCCTGTTATTTAATTTTTTTCTACATATAGAATAACAAATTTGCTCTATATTTATCTTTTCCCCTAAAAAAAAAAATAAAATCTTAATATTGAGAGTTCAGCTTTTTTATTTCTTTTTCTTTAATATCATGCTAGTTGAAATTGAAGTCAGATTTTACTCTTACAGCAATTGTTTTGAGGTAATTACTTTATTTAATAAGTGATAACTTGTTTATATGCCAAGGGAAACTGATATTTAAAATAGCATAAATCATGCATTGTAACTAATTTAAAAAAATTAACTAATTAAAAAGATTTTTAAAATTGTAAAATAATACAAATTGATAATTTAAGGTAAAAAAATAACAAATATTTAGCTATCTTGCATTAATCATCTCATGCATGTTTAGGTTTTAATTATTTAATTAAGGATAAAAGTTTTTTTTGTTTTTTTTTTTTGTTTGTTTTTTTCTTTAGGGCTGAACTCTAAACATTGATTTAAAACATCTTTTCTTGTATGGTATTTTGTTTTAGGAGTTTAAAAAATACTTTAAATCATGAACAAAATGAGTAATTTGTTTCTATTTTGTAGTCTTGTATCCTTAAATTTAATAATTTCTTAATACTCTTTATAATTTGTTATCAATAACTGCTTATGTTTACATTTTCTCTTCACTTTCATTTAATGAAATGTTTTGAGGCTACAAGTGAACAATGGCATTGGGTTATAAATAGAATTAATAAATATATAATCTAGTATTATCTAAACCATTCATAAATTTAACTATTTATCTTTGAGAATGTCCGTCCATCATTATATTATGAAACTTTCCTTCAGCATGCATTAACATATTTTGGGAACTGTAATTGTCTCCTTTATTCTAATGGTTGTTCTGTGCATTAACTTTGGGAACAACTAGTATCACTTTGCAAAATTGTCCTTTCATCACAATTACTGCCCAGAAGAGACAAATGGCAGGAAAATCTTTTAATTTGTGAATAAAATCAAAGTATTAAAACCCCACCTGATATTTCAGTAGTTGTCATAAGCCATTTATTCTCCTTTAACTTCTATCCATTCACAGCATATATAACTTTTTTTTCTTTTCTTTTTTGTTTTGTTTTTCTTCAAAGAAATTACCAGAAATATTTATTTTCATCTTTTTATTTTTGCCATTGCTTAGATCATCCCCTTCTCTCACACACACACACACACACACACACACACACACACACACACCCACACACATTTGCGCATGGGAAATAATTCTTCTCTCTTCAAATAAAATCCTTTCATATTTTTTCCTGAGATATTTAAAAAATTGTATACACACTTATTTCAACTGCTGGATTGTATAACCATTTTCAAATGCTCTTTAAACAATGCTTAATTTCTAATCCCCCTCCCCTTTTTTCTTCATATCACTGGAAATCTGGTTACAATGCTGAAACTGATTAACAAATTTGTTCCTTTCTTTTTTTCTCACTAGCATCTCTCTCGCATTTTATCAAAACCTTTTCTCTGTATATTTATTTTTTTTAACTTTACAATTTACCAAAATATTTGATTTAGTTTTTTTTTTTTTTTTTTTTTTTTATTGTGTATATATGTAATTACACAACTTGATCTTATTTTTCCTATAAAAACATATTTAGAATATATTTATATAAGCATGATACAATTTTTCCTACTGTCATTATTTCATGACATTATTTTTGTAATGTTTAGGTACACATTTGTTTATAAAGCAAATTGTTATGAAAAACTACATTTTATATTTCTCTTACAGCCTATCCACAAAATCAAGTTGGCACCAAATTGCAGTAGATATTTACTAAGGTCTAATTTGTGTACACAAGGCCACAATAGTAGGGCACCAAATAAGGATTAGATTTGCAAAATGATCTGCAAATCTAGTTTGTAACAGATTATAGTAAATGCTCACTTGTCTATTCACATGTATATACAGTCATTTCAACCATTGGATAATGGTGAATTCTTGTGATACACTGAAATTGTACAATAAAAATTATATTGAGCATGTGATTAGGCATTATCAATTACTATTATGAAAATTATAAAGTTAACTTGAATATGCAAATGAAAGCAGTTTAATTTTGTATCTAATGAGAAAACTATGAAATTTTGAACTTAAAATTTCAGTTAAAAATTTGATAACTTGGTTTTATGAAAAACATTTTTTAATCTCTTAAAAATATTTAAGAATTAAACAAGTTCTTCAAATTCAATTTCACTTTGGGACAGATCTAAATTATACCTGATGCATAACTGCACTGCCTAAATTCATTTATTGCCTCATAGCAAATTTGTTAATAATAATAATCAAATTAATAAGTTAATTTGTCTTTATTTTATTTTTTTTAACTAATGATTTTTCTATTCCTTTTATTTCTTCACTTATTTTTTACCTCTATCTTTTAAATTTCAAATTAATGAATTGGATTTTTTCCCCACCTAGTGTTTTTGCTTACTTGTCAAAATTGTCAAACAAAATTTCTAATTTAAAAAAAAAAATTGCAGTGTTACTTATATGAACTTCTGGAAAATAAATAGTTTAATAAGTGGGCCTTCTTAACTGCAACATTAATATACTTAAGTCATACATACAGCAACTGCTCTACTGAATTTGCCTTCAACATCAATTGTCATATTTACTTTTTGCCAATGACAGGTTCTTGTACTATATTTGTTCATTCAGTTTGCTTCAATGATATGAATAAAAGCAATGCTGCTCCATGTACAACTTGTAATTCACTGGGGAACTCTCTCTTTTCCTAAGTCATCACTCCTTTAATATATATTTTCATAAATTCACATGTCCACATTAGTTGACTATTACTTTTTTAAAAAGTAAACATTTTTACAAAAATGTGTAATATGTATAAAATATCTATATTTTTCCCAAAATTTTTGCAATAAAAAAAACAAAAACAGCCAACTTCCTCAAATTACTACTTTTTGAACTATTGTTTCTTTTTAATGAATATCTCTTTCGGATTTGAGTAACTTTTTGCTACATTCACAAAATTTTAGTTACTTTTGTAATCCTGCTAAAAGTTCAATTTTATATTTTTTCCAAAGTAAAACATTTTTCTCAAGTATTTCTCTACTCAATTCAGAATTCTACTCTTGTATAAAAAATGAAAAACTTTCATGAAATATCCCTTTAATTTTAATCTATTTTTTTTTTTTATATAAGATTAGAAATGTTTCAACTTAATGTCTAATACCATTATGAATTCATTGCTATAAAATATAAATAAACCTATTCTGTACAAGCTTTCTCTTTCAAAATTTTTCATACATCTTTCTCTTTGAAATAATTTTCTGAAGTTTTTGTTCCCCTTTGAAAAAGTAAAACAAAAAAACTCTCACTGATTATCCTGTTTGTCATCATCTGTGATAGGCTGAGAAACTTTTTGTTAATGAAGTAGACTTTGTTCATTACAATTTAGTTTCTTATAAATAAGATCTGGTCCATAACAACTGCAACCTAACAGCCTTCAAACATTTTTTTTCCATTTCTTTTCTTTTCACCCTTTTTATTTTTTCCAAAAGTTGTACATACTGAAAGATATACTTTTTTCTATGTAGTATTTTTATATGTGATAGATATTGGTAAAACAAATAATCAAGAAATACCCTTGTTGTGTGTGTGTGTGTGTATATATATACATATATATATATATATATATATACACACACACGTATTTTTTTGACAATAAATATAATCAAAACCATCCTTGTTATGTTATTTATGCAGGTGAACATCCAAGAAAATTTACATTTTTTTTTATTTTTATTTTTTTTTATAAAAATGACTTCCTATAACAGCTACAAATTACAATGACTGTTATCATAATTTATAAATAAATACTTTTATCAAACTAAACTTTTCATCTATTTTACTTATAAATCATGGCAATAATGAATTTCTACTCCGTTTCAGAGAATTAGTCTTCTCTATTTTTATTTACGTGAATTAAGAGTTAAAATACATGCTATGTTTTAAAATAATATATATAGTATTTGTTCACATGTTAATTTCTAACATATTAATACTGTTTTTGGTTTATTAATTTTAACATAATCTAGTCTGTATATCACCTAATTTCATATCAGAATTCAAACATTAACTGTTATTATGGTTGGTATTAATTTGGCTTTGTTTAATAAAGCTCTGTGCAGAAGAGAGAATACTACTGCAATAATATACCCTTCATTATATTGCCTTTGGTTTCCCTGAAAAAAGTTGATCCTGGACAATACTTTTAAAATTTTTGCTGATGGCATTCAACATACATTTCAGTTTAGTTTCTCTCAAAGAAAAAAAATGGATAAAATAAACTTTTTTTTTCTTCCAAATTTAATTTAATTGCCAACCATATACAACTATGAGAAAAGGTTATTTAGCACTCATTTACCAAAAACTTAACATTATTCATTCATATGTACTGAAAACACTGATTACTGTAATGTAGAAAGCTTAGATTTGATGCTATTTATATTAGCAATGCATTTTATATTGTCTTTTTCTCACAACAAAATCTAGTAAAGAACACAATTGAATTCTAAATTATACTTAATTTTATAAGATACTAGCAAGCTTTGTTCACTCACTATCACTTGGTAAAGTAAGATATATTCACTACTTGAAATCTTTGAAACAAAAATTTTAAATGAACATTTCATTCATAAATTGGCTTCTTAGAGTTAAGGAAAGTTTTACAAATAGTCCAACTGTGGGAGGGCAGAGGTGCAACTGAGGAAAATCATACTGAGAAGTGCCTAGCCCTGGGGAATAGCTGCACTCTCTCATTGCACTAGAGAAAGGGATCAGTGCTCACACACAGGTCAGTGCAACCAACAGTTGTGGGGGCTCGGAATTTTTGTCCTTGGCCCAAGTGTACACGCTCAGGTTCCCCATGTTAACACGGCCTTGTATCACATCCCATCTCAGTGGGGAGCCAGAGTAAATATTTACTATAAAGTAGTTTGTAACACATTTATCATCTCTGTCTTTGGGCAGAGTGCCCTCAGGGGTGGCTCCATCAAAGTACAGAGTCAAAACTGAGGAAAATTATACTGAGAGGTGCCCAGCCCTGGGGAACAGCTCCCCAAGGCCGTACCCTCTTATTGCACAAGAGAGAAGGATTGGTGCTCACACTAGGGCCAGCACAACCAATGGTTGTGGGGACTCAAGGAATTTTTGTCCTAGCCTAGGTGTATGCACTTGGGCTCCCCACATTAAACCAACCTTGTGTTGCAACACAACTCTGTGGGGGAGGTCAAGTAAATACCAAATTACTATAAAGTAGTTTGAACATGTTTATTTATTATCTCCCAGTTGTGGCTCTGTCATAGGATAGAGGCATAACTGAGGAAAATCACACTGAGGTGCCCAGCCCTGGGGAGCAAATGCCTGAAGCTGAACCCTCTCATTGCACCAGAGAGAGGAATCAGTGCTCACTACAAGACCTTTGCAACTGAGAGTTGTGGGGGCTCAGGGAATTTTTGTCCTTAGCCCAAGTGTATGTGCCCAGGTTCCCCACATTAAACTGACTGTGTCACAACATGACTCCATGGGGTATCAAGTAAATACCTACTATAAAGTAGAGCTGGGACTTTTTAATCTCAGCTCCAATTTTGCATTTATTGATATAGAGTCCATATAGGTTTTACTTAATTAGCTATTATGTTTCTCTAACTCTTCAAATGTTGAATGTATAACTGATTCTAATTTCTATTTTCCCATCTTTACACTATATTAATTTTATCTTATAAACTGTCCCCTGTTCTGTCACCCATGAAATAAAAATTGTTTGTATGGAAAATAAAGATCTGCGTGCATAAAATCATCTTTAAGTGGGAGCAGAAGAATTATCATTGAACTTTTAAAAGGTAGGCTTAAACATTAATTCAATACTTAAATGCAGTGATCAATTTTGAGTTCTGTAGTTTATTGATGCCTATTGCATCTACTCCTCCCTAGCTATTGTGATGATAGTGCAGCTAGTTGCAATTTTAGATACAAAAGGAAAATAAGAGTTACTCTCCTTGAACCATGAAAGCAAAAATAATGACTAGTATAATATATTAATATATATTTTTAACCTTGCATAATCTGGCAACCCTAAATCTGAGCTTGATGAAAATTGTTCCCTGCATCTAACTTTTCTAGGGCTTTTGAATGAGCTATGAATCATTGAAATCAGACCAATGGGAGTGGAGGAGTTGCTTCAACACACATACATACACTGTACTTTATATATGAGATTTATTTGGAAATCATCTTTTTCAAAATAACTGAATACAAAATAATTTTTATAAAAAATTATGCATTTAATTTCATATTTGTAGACATTAATTTACCACTACTTGATCTTTAAATTTATGAAGGTTAGTCAATTAATATCTTCTTTAATTACAATGGATATAATATAATGCATAAATTATACCAAGATGAAAGTCTTAAGATTTCAGATCTAATGTTCAGCATAATCTCCTAATCAAGTATGGTATTCTACATTTAAATGAGGCCATGTCTACCCACCTCGTAGATGCTTCTTGACTAGGAAAGTAGCCATGTGCAAGTTGCCTATTTTACTTCATGGCTGGAGAATTGTTTTCATTAGTCTAAGGATGTCAGGTTAGGGCTGCTCTTTCCTCAGTCTAGAGACAAACTTTTGAAAACCAAGAGAGTACATTAAACTACAGACACTTATGACTCACATGAAGGCTTCAGAGTTTTGAACAAGGGATACTTTTGCCAATTTTCTTCATCCTTATATCCAGCAGCAGCAGCTAATCTGCAACTGTAGAACCTGACAGTTTTTTCCTTTCTCTTTAGGATTGCAATTAACTATGCTGATCCAATTCCTTACTTTGTTTATATCAACTGCAATCTTTTTATAAATATTCACTAACCTTTCTCCTTCGAAAAACAAATTCTGACTGATCTTTTTTATTTGTTGGCCATTTTAAAGAGGATTATGGATAAGAAAAAAGAAACAGATTTTTCCTTTGAGCTTCCAGAAATTTTGTGATTTTCTTATTAAAAATAATAGAATTTTTAACTAATGCATTTAGAATTAAACTAGTGTTACCTTTTGGCTGAGTTTTGTATCTTTCATGCAAGCAAGTAACTGTTACTTTAAAAAAATCTCTACCTAATTTTACAAAAATATCCACTTTTCTTTAACCCTAGAACACTAACCATCAATTAAAGTTACACCACTATTAACCATGGGTATATAATACTCGATTTTGAAAATATCAAAAAAAATATTAAATATAAATCTTTATTTAAAATATTTTACATGCAGGCACTTCAAACTTTGTACTTTGAGTTAACATTAATAGGAACTGAAAAATATTATTTAGTTAATAAAATCAGGTACTGAAAATTGTAATTAAAAATAGGAAAACTTGTGCTGGGTACTATATACCCATGGTTAGTGTTCTAGAGTTAAATTGTATATTAAAAAAATCAGCTTTCATAGAAAATCCAGGATTGTATACAAAGCACAAATGTTCCTCTTGATAGAGGATACTTTCTCAAAAATAATCCAAATGTTGAGTTAAGGTGAACTATTAACATCCAAGTCTTTAAAAATGAAAGTGTAGAGATAGAATTCTGTGATAAATCACTGTCTGTAATTCTTGACCAAGAATTTGTCATGTTCTTAATTAACCATAACAGATCAAAATTTCATATGGATGTAATGTTTGCTCCCAAACTTGTTCAGAAATATATAAAAACTGTCAGCTGTATATAA